TGATGCCAGTGCCCTTCAAAGGAAAGGGAGCGCTTCAAAGCAATGGTCATTGGACTGGCACCTTCCTCTGAATGTCCTATGGTGCCCTGTATGTCATTTGTAGGAGGCTCAGGGAATGCATATGTTGTGCGTGGTGAGAGTGGACCAGAAAAATTACGAAGATAGTTGCCAAAATGGATTTGGGTATGTGGTTCTTTTCAAGCACGTCCTCACTGGACCATGATAAGTCGGCCCAAACGACCTTCGCTGTTCTATGGACGATTCGGCGTGCCTTCTCCCGTATTACTCACATGGACATCCAAATTCTCTATGGGGCCTACGTCAGACCGCTTCTTGTATATACCGACCAAGTCGCCTTGTCTGAACGGGGCTTGGCCAGAATTTTTCCACCGTTGACCCAGCAAGCACATGGCGGGGATATGGTAAGAAGGATTTCAAGCTCAGAGCAAACACATTAGGTAAAATTTTTCCCATATGGGTTATTAGCTGTGTGGAACGACCTCCCTCACACAGTTGCCCACGCTCCTTTTAGAACCCAGTTCAAAGCATCATTAGACACTTATGCATGCGAGTCCTCGCGCTGGCAAGCGTGTTACCTCGCGCTAAGAACGTAAAGAACAGTCCTACACCTTTTTTTAACATGTTTTTCAGGTGAACGACGGCCGCTGAATGACGAGAACGAAACCGACCCGGGAATTTCGGGCGGAAGCCCCGATGGTGTGCATTAATTCGTCAATCCGTGACCTCTTGAAGGCAGATCAAAACACTTGTATGGTGCGTTGTTTATAAATTCTATGTGGTGATGGTATTCCGAGAGTTTGGAGTCCCTTTGGTGGGGCGCTGGCAACCGACATTTGGCGGACATTAGACCATGTTTGGTTACACAGGTCGTTTATTCGGCCAAACAGAATTCGAGTTGATGCTGGACTGGCAAGCGGCTCAATTATCCGTTGTTCACGCCGCGTCTGGCCCCAGCTGGAAGCATTTTGAATGTTTATTTATGTGACTCCTGGCGAGCTTACCACTCAATGCCGATAACTTAAAGAGCAGCACCACACACGTTTCGCTGTTGCCTTTCAGGTGAACTGAAGCCCGTAAGTGACAACAAGAAACACGAAGCTTGGGCGAAGGCTTTGTAACGCGG